CTTCATGGATTAGCATTCACTGTTCGTTGAGTCCTTTTCAAGAATGATCGGACTTCAGCTCTTTGCATTCCGAATTTGTAAGATATTGCTTACATTTTGATATGCACATTCGTTTTCGGTGCTGCCTCGTTGCGGTTGTCCACCAGGCGTGTGTAGCCTCTTAAGATTTGAGATCGAGTGATAGATCTAGATCGAGGATAGATAGCGGATTCCCCAAATGGTATTAGGGCATGACATAGTCCGCGCTAACTCACACCAACGAAAATGAATAAGCGGAATAGGGCTTGGTTGAGGCTTTTCCGATCTATGCGGCCAAATTAACACAACAACCAAGTGAAGGGGATTTTCGCGTTGTCAAAAAAACACTCATGCTGCATAGATTTCGTGGGGGGTGGATCGTCTGCTTCTATTCGCATCGACTTTGAGGGAAATAGAGCGTCCTGGTAGCTAAATAAAACGCTTAGCGCTCGACTTTCACTCCGATGCGTCACATTAGGACACTCGTATGTTTTCTTCCTACCTGCGTTTCTTAGAGCCCTCTTTCTGTCACATTGTATTATATAATTTAGACCGCTTGTATATGTATATATAAGGCATTGATTTCCCCTTCTCTCTTTCTCTGTCTCTGCTTGCGTTACCAGATCGATCAAACGCTATTTTCTACTCGATCAGGCTGATTTCATTGTGCACTTCATGGATGCAGCCGCGAAAGAGTTGTGCAAGCCCAGCACAGGTACGTGTCGTTCATTCTGCTTTCGGCATGATTGAGAATTGTCCGTAATTGAAGCACGGTGCAGACACGTTGAAATAGTGTTTTGGTGTTGAGCGACTCATCCTTGCTGAACCGACTGGTATGCTGCATACACATCATGAACAACCATGGTGCAACGCGACAACGACAACGAGGATAACAGAGAACGAACGGGGTTGGGACGGGGTACAAATATTTGTATTGGGTAACAAGAATAACATTTTTTGTTTGTTTCATCATATACCTTTTGAAATTTTCTGTGTTAATTTATTGTTTATCGTTATACGTCACCAGATTTCAACAGGCAAACCGCACATTATTCCAGCGCCACTGACTTCTATCCTGAGCGG